TTGAATATATATATATATATATATATATATATATATATATTCAAAACTCAAATTGGCAACTGGCTAAGAGTGTAGATCAAAAGCAAGTTTAATTTCTCCTATAGAGATTAACTAGAGTTCATATATATATATATATATATATTCAAAACTCAAATTGGCAACTGGCTAAGAGTGTAGATCAAAAGCAAGTTTAATTTCTCCTATAGAGATTAACTAGAGTTCCATCTAAAATAAGTTGACGCAATCTCTGGCTGTTCTGCAACTTTTTAATTTGTCGTCTCAAAGCATGCAGTGGGGACCAAAGTAAAGAACTCACTCTTAGATGTATTAGGCCAATTTGATTTGTTTGTGGTTCTTATCCGGGTCCTTGATTTGACCTTTGATATTTTATAAATTAAAAGTATTAGTTAAAGAAAATTATTATTCCAATTATTTCTCTCTTGTTATAGTAATATATTTGTCATCTGATTCTCGTTGTCAGTAATGAGGTTAAGACCCCGTTCATTTCGCTGATTCGAGTTTAGAATTCGAGTTTTACTACAGTAAAAAGCTCTTACAAACAATCACATCTCAACTCGAATTAAAAACTCGAATCAACGAACTAAACGGGCCCAGATTATTGTCCTCATCAGTATGTCAGACATGACATGAGTTAATGTGACTTTAAATTTTTTAGATATTATTTAATAGAACACTAGCTACTACCCATCGCTTTCGTATCCTCAGCACACATATATACATATACGTATATATGTATAGGCCCGTTTAGTTCGCTGATTCGAATTTTTAATTTGAGTTGAGATGTGATTTTATATGAGAGCTTTTTACTGTAACAAAAAAGTTAAATGTGATTGTTTCTGAGAGCTTTTTACTGTAACAAAACTCAAATTCTAAACTCGAATCGGTGAAATGAACATGACAATAATATCTAATTACTATAAAGTCCTGGTTTTCCTTTAGGCATATTATGGAATCCAAAAATCATGCAAATTGAACATTACTCGTTAACTGCAAAAACATAGGCCTGCAAATTGCATTTCACGGTTCCCTTAAATAATATATATATATATATATATATATATAATTATCATGGCTTTGAAATTGCTGACCCATTTGCTGAATGGTTTTGGGTGGACCTGAAAATTGAACATTCCATTTCCGGTGCAAGTTAGTTTGGTCCAATGAAAACGCCTAAGGGTCTATAACAGCTAGGGTAGAAATTGAATGAGCCAAACATATTGATGATAACAAATTTTGTGAAATGTCAAAAGCACACCGAGCAGAGCACATGCAAAAAAAAACTATGGAAAAACAATGTCCGATACTGATTGGTTTTGACACAGACAAATCCTTCAACTTTTCTCTTCATGGGCTCTGAAAAGTTGTTTGTGAGAAAAAAAAAATCAAAAAAAAAAAAAAAGTTGGTGTTAAATTTCTAAATTCTGTGCAAGTTGTTGTCAGTAATTTAGTGACCTAAAATTATGTTGTTGAGAGATTGGTAAATTTAGCCCCCCTCTACCTACCTAGGAGGAATAAATCATGCAATGTTGCAGACTAGACTTAGATGTAAATAGGGATTGAGAATAAATGCACCCATAAGAGCTATTAGAATTCATTGTCCAATGACGCCAATGACGTCAGACTAGACTTAGACGTCAATATGTAATAAATGCACCCATAAACGCAATATAGCAATAATAATAATAATAATAGAACTGTAATTTTCTCCTTTTTAAATGGTTTTTAAGTAAATAGAATATTTTTAAAATAATTTTTTTGAAAGTCAATAGCACAACTTCATTAAAAAGTGAATAAAGAGCTAAGATACAGAACAATATCAGAGTCAAAAAAATGGGTGTTGTTCACATGATTAGACAATATAAACGCACATATTATCTAATAACGGAGAGAACTCTTCCAACTAATAGCACTATAATAGGGTTCATCCACTTCGAAACGACTCTAAATGAATTACATCTTAATCCCAAAATAATTGAAGTAGCATAGTTAGTTGAAAATATTCATTTACACAACTTAAATACAGTATTTTAGGTCAATACTCGATATAAGTATTGACTTTACTAATAAATATTGTATTCATACAGGATATATAAATATTAATTTATTAGTAAATACGTTTTCGCATCAATCACCTTAAAAACATGTTATTTACTTAAAAAACTGTTTTTAAAATATGTTATTTGCCTTTTTATCCGATAATAGAAATCCTAATCCTAATGGAGAAATAAGACATATAAACCCTCATTTAAACGCTCTTAGATTTATATTTCTTTACCCTGTAGAGTCAAATTAAAAGAGAGTGAATGAAGTTGAAGGGCACAAATATTCCCTATAATTCTCTATACGTGGTATATCTATATCTATTCAAGTTGTGGCAAATTGGTCAAGTCCTTAAAACGGATTCGGTTTCTAAGAAGCTTCTAGATCCATTGCTTGAAGACAGGGTTGGCTGCTACCCTTTTGGTGGATCAAAGGATAGGCTGCTAAATTGCAATGATTTCTAGATACTAAATTGCAACATTCAAAAGAAATGCCAAATTGCAACAAAATGGACCTGGCCTCTTACAGCCCATTGTCAATTAATGGGCACACTGACCAGTTTTTGTCTTGCAGATTTTTAGACCAGGATCAAAACAAAGGCTTCCTCTGGCCTAGTGGTCCACTTTCGGGTCCAACACTTACAGGGATTTACCATAGGATCATTTGCAGACGAATACAATGCATGAATCGTAAGAGTGCGTTTAGAGTAAGGATTTGTATCATAATTTAGATTATAATTTATAGCTCGTTACAGTATTTTTTCTTATAAAAAACACACGTAAATCGAAAATTATTTTAAATCACAGTTCTAAATCATGATTCTAAATTCATGAACTAAACGTCATCAAATTTCTATTCTTACTCTTGATTAATATTCTTTTTAGTCAAATACTACATTACTCAAAAAAATATTAATCAAGACTAAGAAACTTAAATTCTGCACTCTGAAGCTATGTAGCCTATGTTTGGAAGTTAGATTTTGTGCGGGAAAGAAAATTTTAAAAAAATAAATAAAGAAGGGGAAAGAAAATAGAAAATTTTTACCTTATTTAACCTTAAGAAAATTTATAAGAAAAAAAGTCAAAATCCACTCAAAATTTTTATCCTTATTTGGTAGTTGAAGAAATTTATATAAAATTTTTTTTTTTTTTTTTTTTTAAAAATACATCAATTTATCTCTACTCATTCTCTCTCCTCACTTTCTCTCACCTCACTCTCTCTCACTTCATCAGCTATCGTATGCTCCCCTGAATCTGGAACACCACAGGCTGTTGTATGCTCCCTTGAATCTGGAACACCACAAGGCTTAGGGCTAGTAATATGGGTCACGACACGACTCGAAAACGACATGAATTTTGCGGGTTAGGGTTGAGAAAAAAGAGGTTCGGGTCGACTTGAAATTGACACGAAAAATACGGGTCAATTCGGGTTGGACCCGCCTAACCCGAACACGACACGAAACTCGTAAAAAACTAAAAAATACAAATATTTTTCATTTCATATTTTAAATTTTATTATGAACTTGTGATATCATAATAGTTATACTCAAAATCGTATACTATTATTTGCTTAATTTCAATGGATGTTATTGTAATTTAGTGTGTTATGAATTTTAAGTTATTTCTAATATGTAAAAAACTAAATAAAAGTATACAATTTTCGTGTCAATTTCGGATTCACAGGTCAATTTCGTGTCACGGGTCATTTTCGGGTTGTGTCGTGTCAACTCGTAAAGTAGTCGTGTCGTGTTCGTGTTGCGGTTTTTAAAAAATTTCGTGTCACGGGTCGTGTTCGGGTTGACTGTAAATTTAAAAAAAACAATCAAAGCACAACATGTGACACAAATTGCCACCCCTAACAGGGCTACACTCCGACTCGCCGCCAAATTGGAACACAAATCAAGGATCCAATTCGAATCGGACGACGATTCCACCTAGCTTGAAAACTGCTAGCTTAGAGTCGGCGCCGATGAGGTCAAGGGTGACGTGGAGGCAGCCAATGAGCTTCCCGATGGAGACACCGCACGTGCGGCCCATGCGGTCAATGTAGACAGAGACGCGGATGGTAAGATGACGCCGAGAGGAGAGGCAGTTGAAGGTGGCGGAGTCAAGGTGGAAGCCAACAGAAGAGGTAGCAAAGTCGGGGGGAGAGTCGGCGGCAGAGGAGGTGGAGAGAGGGAGGAGAGTGGTCTGGGAAGGAAAGTTGTAAAGGTGGAGCTTGCAAAAGCAAGAAGTGGCTAATGGGTGGACTCCCCAAAAGTTTTCCCCATTTAAATTTTCATTTTCCTCTCAAATTTTTAGGGAAAATAAAATCCACCAATTATGTTTAACATTTTCCATCTATTTTTCTATGTTATTTTTTTCCACATTTTCCTTTAGTTCCAAACAGAAAAAAGCAAGTGACGTTTAATAAGGAGATTCGTACCCTAATTCAAATCATGATTCATAATTCATTACAATATTTTCTTTTATAAAAAATACACGTAAATTAAAAATAATTATAATCTCATAATTCTAATTCATAAACTAAACATTTCTTAAAATCCATCACATTTTTTCTTTCCCCCAAATAATCCAAGTTCCAAATAAGGCAATAAGTTCAACAACTTTTTCTTTACCATGAGTTCCATAAATTTAGCTCAAAGATACTCAAAAAAATATAAACTTTTATCTTCATACCACCCAATGACATTAACTTAAACCCCGTTCAGTTCACAAATTTAAATTAAAATATAATTTTATATGAAAACTTTTAACTATATCAAAAAAAATTAAATGTAATTTTTTATAAATATTTTTAATTATAACAAAATTAAAATTAAAAACTCAAATTGATGAAATAAACAAGATCTTAAAAATTATAACTGTTAGATTTAAACGACATATCTTTCATTCCATCATAATTTAAATAAATTATTAGAGTTTGAATAGACATCAATAGAAGCAAAGCGAGCAGGGTAGCCCTAGTATTTTACCCGTTAATCCATTTAACTTGAAAGCAAACACGTCACATATTTAACAACTGATTCTTACTAGTAAAGCTATACAGAGGATTTAGTAATTCAAACTTAAATACACGAGAGGATATTTGATCGGTAGATTTTAGGAACCCTTGTTCCCAAAACCTTCAAAACAAGATCTCCCACAAAGACATCTCTAAGTTAGGCCAAACTTATGATGTCTGAAGCATGAAACCACCAAAAGTAATGCATATATACATACACACATGCACTCTTTCAACTTCCACAAGCCATGCATTCTTCACGGTTTGTCAGAGAGCAAACCATCTGCGCCATATTGGCATCGACGTTATCCTCAACCTTTGGCTTTTCCTGCATTGCACAGGTAAAAAAATAGCAAATCAAGGTTTCGCACACATTCAACTAAAAGGAGAAAGTGGAAGCAGCAAATTTAGATTGTTACTTTGATGGCAGAGGTATCAACAGTGAACTTGATAGCATCAGCTGCAGCGCGAGACCTCAGATAGTACATTCCTGTTTTCAGGCCCTTTTATGGAGAAAAGAAAAAAAGTCAGAATTTTTATTCGACGAATATCGGGAAAAAAAAAAACTAGAAACAAGCTTCCAGCGCGAGACCTCAGATAGTACATTCCTGTTTTCAGGCCCTTTTATGGAGGAGAAAAGAAAAAAAGTCAGAATTTTTATTCGACGAATATCGGGAAAAAAAAAAACTAGAAACAAGCTTCACATTTGGCACAATAGAAATGCTTCATACCTTGGACCATGCATAGAAGTGCAAAGAAGTAAGTTTCCCAAAATTGGGTTGGTCCATATGTATATTTAGGCTTTGACTCTGATCAATGTAGCATCCACGATCAACTGCCATATCGACCAATGTTCTTTGCTTGATCTCCCAAACAGTTCTGGTTACAGAAGATTCTCTTAGCACGAATAGATACAAAACAAAGAAACCTAGTCACTTTATTAGTATATTATGTAGGGACAATTCAGCTCCGTACTTGTAAATGACTTTGAGCTCATCAGGGATTTCTGCTATGTTCTGAACAGATCCATCTTCATAGATTATATTGTTCTTGATTGCAGGGGACCACAGACCCATCTCAGTCAGGTCATGAAGCAGATGCTTGTTCACCACAACAAATTCACCACTGAAAAAAAAAATATATGATTAAGCCCATGAAAATCAACATTGAAATGTATTAATACAATGGGCTGGAGAAAGCAAACCTCAGAACTCTGCGACTATAGATATTGGAAGTATACGGCTCAAAGCATTCATTGTTTCCAAGAATCTGGCTGGTTGAGGCTGTAGGCATTGGGGCCACAAGAAGTGAATTTCTAACTCCATTCTTCAATACCATTTCCCTTACAGCTTTCCAATCCCACCTATCTGAAGGTGTTACATCCCACATGTCAGGCTGAAGAACTCCCTGCACAAAGCAGTGACCATTTAAGAAGCTAGAGTTAGTATCATGTATCTTATTTTGGAAATACTGTAAATGAGAAATCCATGTAGAGTGACATATTTTTACGCTGGCTGTTAACCTACCGCAACCTTCTTCCTTTACCCAGACTTAGGACCAACTATACGAATCACCGTATAGGCGGTTATTTTGGAAATACTATTTTAGATATTTCATAAAGCCACGGAGCGTAAAATATAATGAAAGGATTAATAAAATGATGTAAAGCTTACAAAATGTGTCCAGCACATATGTTTAATGTGAAACTTATACATAGTGAGATTTTTTGCAGCTAACTCATATACCTTGCTTACAGGACTGCCATCATAGGTTTCATAAGGGCCTTCTTTAGCAGCTAACTCAGAAGAAGTCTTCAGTGCATGATAGTATATCGTCTCAAATATGTCTTTGTTTAGTTGTTGAGCCTGCCATCACAACAGGACTCAGTAAACTCAAAAGACCCAGGATACAATTAAAATATAGCAGAACTGACATGAGAAATACCTCTGGTGAATCAAATGCCATGCCAAGCAAAATGAAAGTATCAGCAAGACCCTGAACTCCAATTCCAATGGGCCTATGTCGTAAATTAGACCTTCTTGCAGTTTCAACGGGATAGTAATTAACATCTATGATCTTGTTCAGATTTGAAGTGACTATTGCAGTAATCTGTCCAAAAAGAACCAGAAAAACTGAGATGCAAATTTTATTGTGATGAAAAATATCAGCGATCAACTCAATAAAATAATTAAAATGCTCTGACATAATGAGCTTAAAGAGAAATACATGAAAACTTCATAAAACAATTAGATTTGGATTGTAACTCTAACCTCTGCTAATTTATCAAAGTCAAAGTATCTATTCTTAGAACCTCTGCTTCCAACAACCTTAGAAGGATGTGATTCTATTGGAACTCCCTGTAACAAACAAGAAAGCATCGCATCACACAGAACTTAACATAAGAGACAGGAAAAACTTCAATCTGCAATGCCAGTATAGCCTTACCTTCTCTCTGACAAATCTTGGTAAGGCAATAGAAGCCAGATTGCATACAGCAGTTTCTGTTGGACTTGTGTATTCAATTATCTCAGTACACAAGTTTGAAGATTTGATGGTACCCAGATTCTGTTGGTTACTTTTCCCATTGCAAGTGTCCTTTGAAGGCAAACAGAAAAAAAAAATGTTAAAATAATCTATCAGCTGAGAGAAGAAAGACGTGTTATCACCATGAGAAAGCAAAGCATTATGAGATATGCTTTAGAAATCAGATTGCAAGTTAAACACCTTAAAAAGCATATAGGGAGTTCCAGTTTCAATCTGAGATTTTAGAATCTCAAACCATAGATTCTGTGCAGGGACAACCTTCTTGGCCTTTCCCTGTAAAAAGGCCCAAATAAGTAAAAACAAAATAAGACAATAAGATTATTGAAAAAAAAAAAAAAAAAAAAAGATTATTGAAAAAAAAAAAAAAAAAAAAAGATTATTGAAAAAAAAAAAAAAACAAGGATACAACAATATAAAGGCAAGGAAAAATTTGATCTACCTCTTTTTCATATTCAGTGTAAAGCTTTTCAAATTCTTCACCCCAGCAATCTGCCAAACCTGGTGCCTCATTAGGGCAAAACATTGACCACTGTCCATTACTTTGGACTCGTTCCATAAACAAATCAGGCACCCAAAGAGCGTAAAACAGATCACGAGCACGATGCTCCTCCTATAATAACAAATGGATTTAATGATCAAGACATCAGTCCCAATATAATACTAACACAAATGAGAAGCTAAAGACAAATAAAGATGACAGTATGCATCCATAGGGTAGTTGAGTAACTTCCAAATTGATAACAGTATCATTGAGAGGCTACAAATATAAGTTCAGATCATACCTTTCCATGGTTTTTCCTCAAATCAAGGAATTCAAAAATATCAGCATGCCATGGCTCCAAGTACACAGCAAAAGCACCTATAAGCAGCAAACATACTGGTCAGAACAAGGCACACTTCAAATGAAGAACATCACACAGAGACAAGAATATATACCTTTCCTCTTCCCTCCCCCCTGATCAACATAACGAGCGGTGTCATTGAAAACCCGTAGCATTGGAACAATTCCATTAGATGTCCCATTTGTTCCCCGAATATAACTCCCTGTGGCACGAATATTGTGAACCGAGACACCAATTCCTCCAGCTGATTTGCTGATAACAGCACACTCCTTCAAGGTGTCATATATGCCTTCAATGCTATCATCTTTCATGCACAACAGGAAGCAGCTACTCAACTGCCATAACACAACCAAAGCATCATTTTCAATTAGAACATAAATTAAAGCAACAAAATGGATTAGAATATCTATGAATACAACATAGTAACACACCTGAGGCCTTGGTGTTCCCGAATTGAAAAGGGTGGGGGAGGCGTGAGTAAACCACCGCTGAGACATCATGTGATATGTCTTGATAGCAGATTCAATGTCCTCCTTGTGAATTCCAACAGAAACCCTCATCAACATATGTTGAGGCCTTTCAATAACCTTCCCTTGCACCTTCAAGAGGTATGACCTCTCAAGGGTTTTGAAGCCAAAGTAATCATAGTCAAAGTCCCGATCATAGATTATCTCACTATCGAGTCGAGCTGCATTCTGGTAAAAGAAAATTAAAATGTCAGCATTCAAGAAACTGAACATAATTACGAATGCCAGATAATAGTCAACACAAAATGCCAAAAAAAAAAGAAAAAAGTAGAGAAAGAAAATTACATTCATGATGATTTCATAGACATCGTCAGCTATTAGAGGAGCCTTCAGCCCAGATCTCTCATTGACATGGAAATACATGATTTTGATCCTGCATTAAGCATCCACCCACATAAAATAAAGGTTACTTTTAACATTTGAGCGTGAATTATAAATTAAAGGATAAAAAACAAGTAAATTGAAACAAATCTTAATAAGGCTTACGTCTCTGAAAATGATTTCTTGGTGTTCTTGTGCAGATTTGAGACAACTATCCTTGCAGCCAACTGCATCAAAGTCAAACAAACCAAAATTAGACTCAGTAATTCATCAAGTTTTCTTCATTTAGATTTTAGATAGTTCAAAAAATAAGCATAATGAAGGCAATTCAAGTATAACAAAGTGACCCATTTTACCATTTAAACAAACAAAGAAATTAAGAAAGCCAACATGTTACAAAAACCACAAAAATTCAACGGAGTGACCAGTATAAACAAAAGAAATCCCAAAACCAAAAATCATCCGAAACACACAAAACAAAAAAAAAAGATATGAACAACAACAACAACAAAAAAAGGTTAAAAAATTCAACAAATATCGAGCATCAGAACCAATAAACAAGAAACCCAGAAGAAAAAATTACAACTAAAAGATGCACTTTACAATACTTATCAACCTATCAGACGAAATGAAATTAACATTAATATTTTAAAGAGAAAAAGCAAAAGCCCAAAACCCAAAATAATCTAAGCCGCCAAACAGAAAGATAGAAACTATTAATATAAGAAACGCAAAAGTACAATCAGTATAAAATAGTGAGATCAATTTAACAATCGGATCTCACAAGGGAACAAAATCCAAAGAACAAAAGCCGCAACAGATCAATTTCATAAAAACACTCCGATCAAGGAAAAAAAGGACCAAATGGACACAGGAAAACCAAATCCCGAAATCGAAACTCAACCAGAATCATAAAAAATGACAAGCTCGGGAACAATACTGACCGAAGCATAGTCAGGATGATTGGCGGTCATGGCGGCGGCGGTCTCGGCGGCGAGTTCATCAAGTAGGCTGGTGGTGACACCCTTGTAGACGCCGGCGCAGACCTTCTGCGAGACCAGAACCGGATCGCAGTGCTCGATGCTAAGGCCATAGCTGAGCTTCTTCAACCTGGCCGTGATCTTGTCGAAATGCACCGTCTCCTGACGCCCGTCTCTCTTCACCACATACATGATTATCTCGATCTCACTCTCTCGCTCCTTTTTCTCGCGCTTTCTCGGTTGGGGAATTTCGTCGAACAGTTTGCGCGCACAAGGCGATAAATGAGTGAAGAACCAGAAACGGTTTATATATGGGTAACAAAGCGAGGGGAATTCGAAAAATTAGGGGTTTTTTTTTTGTTGGAAATTTTGGGGGTTTGTGTTTTTCCCTCTTGAAGTTCGAATTTTCCCGCCGGATTGCAAAGTAAGTTTGGTGTTTCTTTACCTTTGTTGTGAGTGCGGTGATGGGAGTTGGCGGGAAATACGGATTTTGTTGACTTTCTTGTGTAGCTGGCCATTTTAAACTTTGGTTGTGAGACCCACCACAATCTTTCTTAAAAATAAAAAAAAATAAAAAGAGTTTATGGCAAAAATAAATAAATAAATAAACTACTACTAATTTTCTATTGTCAATGTCACGTATCAAAAATTATTTATTCTTCATATTTCTTTTAATTTAATGTAATTTTAATCTAATCTAATAATTAAAAATTAACACTATTAATCAGTCAAACTAATCAAAAAAATAAACAAAAACGAGTTGTTTGACACTACAAGGTCCTTTAAACAAAAACAAGAAAATAAAACAAAACAATTGAAAGTGACCTTATACTATGTAGATGTTTAGTTTACAGATTCAGAATTATTTTCAATTTATGTGTATTTTTTGTGAGAGAAAACACTGTAACGAGCCTTGAATTATGAGATTCACTTTTAATTTGTGTGGTGCTAAGTAAAAGTGAGGTCCTATAACAATTTTTAGATAATTAGTATCATTAATCCTTGGATAATGGACAATCCTACATTGGTCTCAAAATTTTTTTCATGATATATTATTTCATGAAGTTTCATTTCTCTCCCTTTTTTTTTACAGTTTTAGTCTTTCATGAAGTTTCGTTTCTCCCCCTTTTTTTTACAGTTTTAGTCTCAGTATTAAAATTTGACGAATGACTTCAAAAATTTCACAAATACTCGTGTCCTAATTGCATTATAAGTTTGCTCTAAAAAAATTACTTAATAAGTGAAATATTCATATAAATAATTACATTAGATGTAAAATATTTTAATTTATAAAGATTTTCAAGAATAATAATAATGACACACAATTTGCCCTATACTTTTTTTTTAACTGCGAGGGTCCTTGACTTCTTGAGCACCATACTTTTTAATTGGTATTGTTGCCAGTCGAAGGGAGGTGAGGCTCGGACGCATATGTCCCCGTGCATTTTTTGTCTTTTTATTTTTGGCATATAGTTTTTTAAAATATTTTCATATATGCCTTCTTTGTTAACAAAAATTTGAAATAATATCTCTATGAAATCCAATATGAGCATTTACCTTGAGAAAAAGAGAAGAAATCCAGAGCACTACGAATAATGGAAACAATTTATAAGTTTCGTAGTGTAATACTTATCTTCTATTAGTGTGTCATTTTTAATACCATTGATATCTTTTAGTATTTGATATATCCATAAATGAAAATGCCACTGTCGATGGGATTGTCGAGATTTTAATTTGTGAATAATGTCAACAGAAATGTCATGATGACGGATATTCTTGAAAAAAATGAACATTTTGAAAAAATTTTAAAATTTTTTATTGAAACTATACAAAATGGTAAACAGTCAATATTACTAATTTAAACTACTTAAATAACAAAAATAGAATATGAGAGTTATGTTGAATAATATAGTATAAAATTATCATAATTATATACGGATTATGATTCAAATATAATTTTACATACTCATTATAAATAAGGCACAATAATTCAATATACTACATAGAAATTAACTACCAAGCATGATGGAGTACACACAGATTTAAAGTGATTTCAGTACCAAAACGAGTTTCTAGCATGTTAGAAAGCATTAGGTAGGTTATGATCTTGATCTAAATAATACATTTGCCAAGATATTATCCTTGAATAATTATGGATGTAGTTGTTAATGTGCCACATGCATGTTTGTTGATTTCTTCCTATTATTAACCCATAAATTGGATATTGTTAGTTTATCGAACTTGATGACTAGTCTTCAAGGATGTGTAATTACACTTCAACACTGATATGTGGTATCATACAAACCATCTTGGTTTTGTATTTCTTAAGTAAATCTCATACGAGAACTGTATGGATAGTCATATGAACTTTGTTTTCTTCTTAAGCTCATGGAATCAAAACTCAAGGCTATAGAATCTTCATCGGTTTGACTCAATTGAGTCACACTACGTCTTTTTATAAATGATTTATTTAAAAAATAAATTAAAAAAACTAATTAAGTCTTAATATTTACTTTTTATTTAAACATGTTGTCACATTTTATTGAAAAAATATGAAAAAAATGTGCTACAAAATTGATTTTTATTAAACAAAAATTTCCCAAAGCTTTTGAACATTTTGAGGACATTTTCAAAAATATCCTAGATATTTATGGATATTCACAGAGTTTACAAATTTTTTTAGACATTGTGGATATTTGATGGACACACTAAGAATAATATCTTTCTCTTATTTCTATGTCGAGACTTTAAAACATGAGCAATATCGTGAAAATGTCGAACATGTCGTGAACATTTTCATCCATAGCTATATCGACGTTTAGAAGGGGGATTCGTGTCATGATTCGTGGTTCTCTACAGTATTTTCTCTCACAAAAAACACACGTAAAATGAGAATGATTCTGAATCATAATTCTGAATCTATGAACCAAACGTCCCCTAATTAACTCACATGGAAGTTGGTAGGGATTTGGATAAAATAAATAAAAAAGCTATTGCATTTGAATTCAAAAAACATTTTGTCCTATCACGAACCACGGCTTGCCAAGCACTCTTTCTTTTTCTGTTTTTACTTTTTTCCTCTTATTTTTGGTTTGGTTTGGGCTGGAAATCCATCTATTGGGTATTCGAAAAAATGTGTTTTGGGTGTTGAAATGCTCGACGAAGCCAGAAGTAGAAGTTGCAGACGGTCGATTATGACAGAAAAAGAAGGAAAACCACCCAAATTTGAAGCATTGCATTAGAGAGGATGGTGCGTGTGCCCTACTACAAAATTTTGATTTTTTTTTAAAATAACAATATTTTGATAATTACATTCAATCGGATGCTTCAAACAAAACAACGTATAGAACAACAAATATGATTTGAATTGGCATTTCGGAACAATAAACTTCGACATGGTCTCAAACTTTTGCCCGGAAATCGCTTTTTTTATGGAGAGAAAACATTGTAGCAAAAAAGTTGAATTTAAATTTTTATGAGAGAAAACACTATAGCAAAATGGTTTGAGTTGTAATTTAAGTTGTGAAACCATTAATTCGCTCTAAATGATCTACAACGAGTCACTATCTTTCACTACGAATACAGATCGAAGAAAAAGAAAATTGTTATTCTTTTATCGGTTTAACGGCCGTCATGAGTCTCATGACAAAGGGTAGACGTCGTAATATTTAAAGCAGCAGAAATTCCTATGCCTTCTCGGATAGATAGATTTGGTGTTATGATCTTTATAGAGTTGATCAAGACTGTATCACCAATGTACTCTTCGTCTTCATCGTCCCTCCACATGAAGACCATCAAGAAAGAATGAACCTAACAACTAAAACAATTAAAATTTGAAATCAAAATATGATGTTCTTCGAAGAAGAATAACCTCTTTTTGAATTTGACTATCTAGTTATCTTTGACAATTTTAAAAGGATAAAAAATTGTTTTTAGATATATATTACCACTTTGAGAGTCCGTTTAGTTCGTTAATTTGAGTTTTTAATTTGAGTTGAGATATGACTTTATGCGAGAGTTTTTTACTGTAGTAAAAAAGTTAGATGTGACTGTTTCTGATAACTTTTTACTGTAACAAAACTCGAATCGGTAAAATGAACGGAACCTGTATAATTATCTTGATACAGGATGTTGACATAACAGGGAGCCTGTGTCTTATTAGGACATTGTTTTTACTTCGTCCATATTCTAATTAGAATAGGAC